TTGGACTGTTGGACAAAACAAGAAAATCTGAAGACGTCATCTTGGAGTTAAAAAAAAAAAATGGTGATACAAATGTTTCACTACTCCCTGACATTTTAGACACCATTGATTATTCATAGAGAGTAATGGTTAGACAAAGCTCTAGTTTCTGGATGCTCAAGATTGTTTTGTAATGCAGAGCCTGAGATTCTCAAGTACTTTGACAGCTTCAAATGCCGTCAGATGTACTGTCCCAATTGAATAAGAAATAAGAGAAAGAATTATGCTGAATCTGTTGCCACCATCAGACTCATGAAAGAAACAGACGAGGCATTTAAAAGTCTTGACAGCACGGTCAGAAGTTCAGTGCAGGCTTGCTCTTGTCCATTTTAGGAAAAGCCTTTGAAGGCAAACATTTTATCTCAACAAACCTCACAGGAGCAGCTTGAATGGCTCCTGCTGTTATCCTCAACATGGCCCTATACCAGTACAGATGTATAATGTGTCACCTAGCAACGTATTTAAAGTTTCCCCAAGTTAAATACAGAAGTACTCGGCTAATCCCAACATAAGACCACTTCTTATTACGTCTAGCTCTGCCACCGCTTCCTTCATTTGACTTCCCCTTCTTCCTCACCAGACAAAGGTTGGCAGATTATTCACATTCTTTGGTTGCTTAGTGTGTGAGTTTGGTTTCTTTTGTGATATAAATGTCAGTGGATACTGTGTAGTTCTGCGATGAAAAAAAAAGGTATTGCACAAGGCAAATTAAGTCATGAGATATATAGTAATAAATACAATCTCAGAATAAAGCTTTTATCTAAATACGCCTTTAAGAGTAAATGTAGATTATTGGATAATAAACACTTGAAGACAATCGTGTGGGATGGTGAGCAACAACATATTCTATAGAAAGCAAATATTCCAAAGAAAGGAAATGGGAGTGTGCGGTGAGATAAGTGCACTTCCTGCTGTGTTCTCTGATAGTCTCTTTGAATACAGAACAAGAAGATGTACAGTGACGCTATAAGACTGATGAGTTAGCTGCGTCTGGACACGTTAGAAAAACATTGTGTCTACCACAGCATTTATTTAACAGTTTTTTTTAAAACCATTGTTTTTTTAAATGAAGCGCTGCAACAAATGTCTGAGAGCTGCATGTACCTGCAGCCACACCCTGAACCACACTGTGCAGAAGGGTGGGGCAGACTAAAGGTAAATCCCTTCTCTTATTCAAAGTGTGTCAGATGCAGAAAAGGGTTTGGCTGTTTACTTTCAATCCCTACCGTTGAGTATGATCCTTATCAGAGAGACTTCAACACAAAGGAGCAGTTCAAAGTGTAATAACTTAATAAGGAAATAGGCGGTCACTTTTGATTTGAGACAGCGTGTAGCAGAATATTATTAATATGTAGCACAGATATCACCATTCATTTAGTTAGCAGCACTGCAGCTAATGATTATGTTTTAATTCTTGAATAAATGTTAAAAAATATAGAAATGTAGTGCCATTGTTTTCCAAGTGGAATTGTTCAAATAGATTTTTGGTTAAATATCAAAAAGCACTAAAATAAATCAGCAAATGTTTATTTTTAAGAAACCAGAAGACGTAAACATTTGGCATTTTCTATTAAAAAGGTGGTTTCATTGATTGTCTAAATAGTTTTCAAACTACTTGTCTAACTATAGTTCACATATAGGCATACATTTTTTGTCAAATATAACAAAAAAAAGAAGAGTGACATGAACTCTCCATGTGTAGTTAACGATGTGCTCATTTGCCTGGGTGGAGCGCTAACAGAGAACCAGTCCTGCCAGTGACACCGAGGAGCCAGTTTACCCTCCAGGCTCCTGTTTCACAGCCAGCAGCACAGCTGGAGGTTAGCCTGGGTACGAGGCGACAGCCGGAAGCAATATTTAAGTAGCAAAAGGAAAGAGGAGTTAACAAGGTCTTGACAAACCTGTGAACATAGTTCTGTAACTCATGCTGTGGTTCAGAGCTCAGTGTTTTGCTCACATATCATTTGGTTTTTCATTTACCTGGCACCAAGCTTCAGACTTCATTTTACAGCACAGCATTCCTCCCACACCTGCTTTTACCAAGTTATGTGTATTTTCCATCTACACTACAGTGTTGAATTTTGTACAGGCCATGGAAAGCTTTTGTGAGATTGTTTGGCATTCTGGCCCAACAGCTTGGGGTTAAGCCTCAGGGGAGGACAGCATGTGTCCCCCGGTAGAGGTTCTGCATAAAAGGAAGTGTGTGTGGAGTAGCGGAGTCATGCCTTTGGGCTAAACAGGTGTGTCCAGTCAACTGAACAGCAAACTGCAACACCTGTTCCTGATTTTCTGTCAAACATGAGAGCAATAACCAAACACACCAACAAAAAGTCAACATATTGTGAGTGTTTGTTGTGCTGCCTTCTGCTGCTGTCTCCACCTGAATCTCAGCAGCCGGTCAAAGCAGCTCCTCAGACAGTGGGTATTTATAAACCTCACTTCCCGTTACAGTGAGTCTACAGTCAGCCCATTCCAGAGGCCAGGAAAAAACCCTCTGAGTCACCACAGTCCCATGACCAAGCCAAGACTTTCAGAGTGCTATGGCAACCAAACACTAAACAAACTGTATAACAGATAAAGCCGGCACAGGCTGGATTGAGAGATCCCTTTCCACCACACATGCGTCAAAACGAAATGCTTCCACTAGAAACAATAATGCAGCAGAAGTTGTCTGTGCTTCTCTTTCCAAGTCGCTGGAGAATTACATTGACATTTGGGATTTTATGGAAGTGAATAGAAAATGTCATAATACTGCTCTCTCAACACTCAGTATACAGACAGCCTTTTATTGAGTGCACATCATCATCCAGTTTGTGCAAATGTGACACCACAGATTGAGGAACTTGGGACAGGGACACAACAATGAAGGTAATCGCCCATGGCACAAAGGAGCATCATCACATTCCCTGCTGATCTTTTACATTTGTTTTCCTCATTCAACACTTAGCACTGAGCCACACCCATTGAGTTTTGTTTACATTACCAAGGACATGCTTAACAGGTTACTTTCAATAATAATAATATCACCTCAGTGAGGAGAACACAATGGCACTAATTGGGCCAATCACTCCCTGTAGATTCACTGTTAAAACACAGAAGATATGACTTGTCGAAATCTTTTTCAACAAGTCAATGTCTCTTTTTAAAAAGGCATGTGTTGAATCTCTTTATTCTGTCACTACAGGGAATCTCTGGGCTACAAAAGTGGAGCACATGCAGTCAGATGTACTGTTGGAGTGGTAATACTTTTATTTTCTCAGAGTCCTCTTACCCAAGGACTTTGCCAAGACCGTGACACATTCTTTAACAGACTATTGCCTGAGGCCTACGGCAGCAGTCTGATCTGTAGATATTCACCCAAGTAGCTGAATCAAAGTGGGGGAAAACAGTAAACACAGACAACAAACCTGCTGCTAACACCACACCTCAGGCCAGGGGCGAGGTACAGAAGAAGTGAAAGTAGGAATGATATAATTGCATGCTCTTAATGCTACAACACCAGAAGTAAATAATTTGCTACCTGCCATACAAGTGCCAGTTCACTTTTATGTGACTTGCATGTGACATTTGCTTAGTTAAGATATTAACTCAAAGCATGGAAGTTACCTTAAGACTTCTGTGGCACTACAATTGTTTGGTTATTATTCTTATTCTTTTTACCACTGCCAGCGAGGCTTCATTTTCTATATCTGTTTGTCAGTAGGATTTCGAGAACAAAACTCAGTTTTCTTGGTGGAAGGGAGTAGCATGGGCCAAAGAAGATAACCAAATCATTTTGGAGCAGATCCAAATAATGGGGCGTCTTCACAAATTATTTTTGACTTATGGTCTTGACAGAGTCTGCGTTCCAAGTTTCTATTTTCAAATATGTCACTAGTCCACACGTTTCTGGATCCACTGCGAACTGTGAACACCTGGCATCGTGCTAACAATACAAGTCCATTCAAAGTACAACAGATGTTCATTCTTAGCTTCTGTCTATAGTGCTAATATTGTGAAACGTTATCACATGCTGTAGAGCTTTGCAGCCCAGTTGTCTCACACACTGTAATGAAATACATTCTGTCATTAGGTCAGTAATTGTACCTTCACAGGTTGTGTGTTAAAGGTGTAGCCCGTTTGGCTGGAGGTGTGTCATTTTAACATCCACTGGTCCTAAATGCAACACAACTGACAAGTCCTACCAAGTAATCAACCTGGAATGTATTCTACGATGCCAATGTTATGTTTAGCTGCGCACTCTTGACTGCATTCCTGCTAGAAAATGTGGGTGCTGCACCACCTCAGTTTGTAAAGACAGGGCGTAACAGCACAAAAAGGTAAAATTAAAACATTCAGATCAACATCAATCACTGTGACTGCAGTAACCACTACGATGAAATCTTTTGGACACATCAGAAAACTCTATGCTGAAATGTTGATGGCTCAGGAACATTAAGAATAATGCTTATTCAAAACAAAGGAACTCAAATGCAAGAAGAAACCTGCACCGACTGATGTGCCAGAGCATGTAGGAACAGTATGCATTTCAGTAAAAACAATACCACCACAAATCATCATCTTCCTATTGTGCCTTTATCTGATTCTTCATTTTTTTTACCTGCCTATAATGTGAAACCATTCTTCTTATGCATCAGTGAGACGGGAACAAGACCAGGTTACTTGATCAGTTTCCCAAAAGGCAGGGAATTCCCCCGCAATGAAACCAAACAGCAATTAAATGTCATAGATACTGCAACACAACTCAAAAGTTTTTGATGTTTCTGCTGACTTTGAAGTACAACTGAATGAACGTATTATTATAACTTTATTAGAAAACAACATCGTAAGTGTGCCGTTTGCCTATAATATATATGATATTGTACAATAAATGTGATAACTGTGGCCACAACCACTTTGTGACATAACTCTTGTAACAAAGCCACTCCCTTTTAAGCCCCGCCCCCAGATGCTCCTCCTACCTGGCTTTGAGGTCCCTGTGCTCCTCCCTGATCTTGCTGAGCTCCAGCTGCATGCGTGCTCGCTCCTTGGCCACCTGGTCCAGGGTCTTGCGGGCGTCGGCCAGCTCCGCCTCGTAGGCCCCCTTGATGCCCGACACCTCGCGGGTCACACAGGAATCCGACTCAGTGATGCGCATTCGCAGACCGGCGTTCTCCGACTCCAGCGAGCGCACCTTGTCGATGTAGACGGCCAGCCGGTCATTGAGGTTGATCATGTCCTCCTTCTCCTGCAGCCTGGTGATGCGGGTCGGGGAGGAGGCACCCCGGCTGGTGCGTTTCTGGCTTGGGGTTTCCATGGTGATAATGGCTCAACAAGAGGTGCAGAGGTGTGAGTCACTGGCTGTGGGGGAGGAAGGGGAGAGGAAGAAGAGTTAATGAAAAACTATCTGAGCTACCTTCACTAGGAACGCATTGGACAAAAATCCTGTGTTGAATCACACATTAAACTTTAAAGGAGTGTATGGGGAAGAAATGTTCCAGTTTGCGTATCCCTGATCCTTTCTGGGCAGCCTGCCTCCCCGCTGGCTCTACTCACAGATCTGCATGATTTTGTATTCCAGCATCATTTTTCCACATCTATAAAACGTCATTGAATACCAACCCTCCTCTGTACTTCAAGTGTGGTGGGTTAAAAGTAATTTGCAAAGGCAGAGCTTGTTCACACAGATGCGATTTGTTTTCCTTGGTTCTTGTTTTCTAACACTTCCGATTTTTTGGATACAAAAAGCCCTTTTATCTCACAGGAGCTGAGGTTTTCCTGCTTTTAGTGCTCCTGATAACGTGCCTTATGTGACTGTTATTTCCACTGCAAAGAGTAACACACTGTCATAACATATGCCTCATGTTCTCTCCAGTTCCATTACATTGTTGTAGGAGCAGTTATGCAACTTTATGCAGCTCCTGAGTAAACATACATTTCCCACGAACATCAACTCGTAGCTTCGGCTCACTCACAAGGCAAATAAAACTATTTTAATTACTCTTATAATACGCATCCGTAGCCAGGAATGCTTAACAAATTAAAACATGGCCCTCCTTTTCTGCTCTCCATGGACCTTTGGGTAAAATGGAGGCAATAAAACATAAAAAATAAGCTTTTAATTACTTTCCCAGCATTATCCAGTGATATTATCGCCCACAACTACCAGCACCCATCAAAATAGCAAAGTGTTGACTCATACTATCAACAAATGCTACAAGATGTCCTGATAAGGACATACATCTGCTTCAGATGTAACTTACAGAAGAAGAATGAATTAAAACACATGGGGTTATTTTTGAAAAAGAATGGGGAAAATGTAAAATGATCCTTTAATGAAACCTTTAATAAACTATGCTTCCAACATGGCAACTGTAAGAACACTAACTCTGAATTACTGAATTGAGAAAGGACTTAGTTCATACGAATCAGAAAAGCCCTGCAATTAGGGATAAGGACTTCAACAATATTAATACATGTTTAAGTATGGTAAGCCTCTGTGGCTCAACAGGTGTGACTTTCAAACTCATCTTATTTCTCAGCAGCTAACCACTCACAACCAACAGCACTTTTTCACTTAACAGCGTGAAAACCTACTTCAAATTGGTTTAGCAGTGGGTGTATTTTGCCATCCATCTATCCACCGGCCATTACCTAAAGTGCGCACAAGGACATTCACAGCCATGTGGGTGGAATGGCGCACACATGAATGACGCGGGCACACGCCCACAGGCACCAACCCATACACTCGTAAGTACTCTCTGGACTACATTTGAATAAATGAAGCATCCACTCACGCTCCCAAAATGTGGCAACTGTTAACAGGTGCTGTCTGATGTTCCCCTCTTCTATAATAGCAGTAAAATGAGCTACAACTTTTTTAAGTTACAAAGCTATTCCACACTAACTAAACTTACTTCGAGCTGATTTAAGGTAAACAAGTATATTATTATAAACACACAGCAACACTATTTAACTTTGAAACAAACTAAAAGTCTCACAGGGACACTATCTGATTAAACCTTCTTAACCTCAACTCTGCTGTGTGGAAACCTCTAGACTTCAGCCTGCTGAAGGGACTAAAAGTGAGAGAACAGGATCTTTCTAGAAGTTTATCTGCTGGTTTGAGTGTGTGTGAGCTGCTGTGAGTGTGTGTGCCATACCCCAGAGGTGCGTAGAGAAGAGGATCCGTAGAATAATGCAGTCCTGCTCTCTGCTAATGGGTGTGTGTGCGCCTTTGGCTCGTGCCCTGAACTGTTCTCCTAGCTGTCGCTCACTGCACATGTACCTACTGCCGGAGAGAGGGGAGGGAGCACAAGAGAGCAAGGAGGAGTCAGACGAGACAGAGTGTGTGTGTGCTTATGGTGTGCACACACACACACAAAGCAGCTGCTGAGCTTTATCTCTCCCTGCACGGGCCCTATCTTTCCCTTTCTCATTTCACTCAGGCAGAGCCCTCGCAGATACACTGACCTCAGCGCCTGCTGCAAGTAGTCTGTCTATAAATCGCAGCGACAGGGATGATACTGAACAGCTCCCAGGTGGGTAAAAGTGTGTGAATGTGTGAATGTGCGGATCTCACCCTGCTGCTATGGAGAACACATTATTTGCACTCTTTAGCTTAAAAACAGCTTTGACAGACAGCTCGAAAGTTAATACATGGAGGAAGAAATTCAGTTTCAGTTTTATCAGAAAAAATAATACCGTAAGCAGCCGAGGTGACCTTGGCAAACACAAACTCACATCGCAAAGTAATAAAAAAAGTCCAAAGTGCACGGAAATCCTTCATCACCTTATAGCAGCGTTGTGTTTTTTTTTTATCCATGGCAGAAAAATAACCTCTCGGCAATCTCGTCCACTGAATCCAGGGAGGAAAAGGTCCTCAAATATGTTGTGTCATATTCCCAGTGAGTGAAAGAATAATTCCCACAAGTCATCTTGAATGTCTAAAGGTCTGACACTCAAACCAAGTTGATTCTGGTCTTATATATATTTCCTCGGGGTGGAGTTAATGGAGTCACAGGTCCAATCAAGTTCTGATGCAGGGGGAAAAGACGTTTTCTGTGTGTGTATGAATCTTCTCACCATGGAAATGGAGGTTAGTCTATTTGTGTGTGTGTGTGTGTGTGTGTGTGTGTGTGTGTGTGCTTGTGTGTGTGCTTGTGTGTGTGTGTTTTTAAACAAGGGGCAAGACAGCATCTCTGCTTTTGGGCATGGGGCAGGCCCAGTGGCTCAGGGAGTATGCGGGCTGCAGTGTGGCCTTCCAGTGGAAAGGAGCAGTCAGCCTCTGAAGCTGCCTCTGACTCACACATCCCGACACAAACAGCTCACTTGTTCGGCCCCGCCTCTCTACCTCTCCCCCTTTCTTTTTCCTTCCAGTTTAAGTTTTTTTGTTTCCATGGCAATCACACAAAGACAAGAATGCCAGGCTGGCAGTTTGAGCATCTTTCTTAAAAAAAGCTTTTCTACAACTGTCCAAACATTCTGAGCTCTTCTTGTGCCGTCTGTGTGCACCAATAATAATCAAATCTGCACATCACAAATCCCATCATGATGAAACAGAAATGCTTAGTGATGCAAACAAGATCCCTGCAACAGAAAGGGGCATCAATTGATATGCTTCCCAGATGATTGAACAAGACTGCAATAATTAATTCATGTTTTGTATTTTTAAACCCTCTGCTTATTCGAATTCAAAGACAAGAACGCGTTGCCTTACCACTTGTAATGGTGCTAATTTAACGGCTCACTCTGGGGCTAAAAGAGCAAAAACAAACAAACAAACCCTAAAGGCCATTGTGGCAGCGGGGTGTGGTTAGGGCACCGGCTGCCGGAGGCCAGACAGCTGATCAGGACCAGGTAACTATGCTCTCAATAAGAAGCCTGCTGGTAACCTGGTTCTGGTCTGTCTTGCAGTAGGCTGGTTCCTGGGAGGATTTCCTGGCCACAGAACGGGTCTGATCAGGACGACCTTGCACCGCTATTTTGAGTGGCGTATGCTTATTTTGTAATAAACCAATAATTATTCACGTGCCTCCTTCTGTCCTTTTAACCTGCAAGTGAGCGGATGTGCTCACAGCCATATTATACCATTTTGACCGAGGCTAATAATCATTTTTTAAATCTCTTGATTATACAAAAAAAGACAACAATTCCTCAGAACCCAACAAGATGTCCCCTTCCAAACATATTCAGCTTACAATTAAACTGAGGAAAGCCTCAAATAATCTAGCCGTTTATTAAATAATTGCAATTGTATTTTTTGTTCAATGACTATTCAATTTAGCTGTAGATTTTATACGGTTATGTATTTCTCACAGTTGGATCTCTGCTAATAAAGCTGTCCTACATTCATCGGTTGAAACAGGACAAAAAGGTTTTGAAATAGAATTAAAGAGTTAATAGTTGTATTTGAATGCTGCTTTATGAACCGTTCAAGGTTCATTACCCATGCATTCAAGTCTTTAGCCACCAGACTTGAAGTATGAATCCCAGATCCACTCACTCATCAAGAGGGAAGACAGGAGCAGGCATGACAGACTGATGCAACACGAGACGAGTACTGAACAATGTGCTAGCAGGCAGCTCCCTCCTGACTTGTTGTCTGCCCTCGCAGCATTCCAAGAGGGCAGCAGAATACAAGGCGTGCCTGTTGTGCAATGTAAATGTTTTATTTCTCCATTATGAGCCACTGGCTGGCTGCTCACCTGGGACAAAATGTGCAATGACAAGGAAGGATTTGAGTATGAGAATATTTGGTGTGGGAGGAAACTCTTAAAGATTTTTTTTCAGAAGTATTAGGCTACTATAAACAGTCCACCCATTCCAGTTTAAAACCTAAGGAGCAGCTCTCTTTCCTCCATTATCTCCCTTTCCTGCACAGATGTACAGGATATCTCCGATCTTGATTCGTTTTCAGATAACACAGCTAAAGAAAGATTACTAATTTATAGAATTTAACAGTTAATGTATCATTTGACAATCGACCAGTCGGCTACAGAGAAACACGTTGCTGGTCCTTCAGTGTGCTTTGTACCTCAGCAGCAGCTATAATTATAGAGCAGTCTCTCACTTTGTTATCTCTGCTGTTCAAAGACCTTTGTACTTCACACAATGTGCATTAATCATTCATTAAAAAAAGACAGTTGACATATCAATGTCAAGCGCACAAGAGTCTGCTGGATATAGTTCAAAAATCAAGTTTGCTTTTCAACGTAAAGTTAAATATTAGTTGCATATTCTGTCCATTTCTACACGTATACCATGCAGCATAACATTACAAAAGTGTTGCTTTGTTTGTCTTTGTTTTGCCTACCATGCAAATTATTCACAACATGATCACGCCAACCTTTAGTCTTGTGTAAATGATGTCGTATAATTCTTCATATTGTTCAGGGATAGGAGGACAAAAAACCGCTGAGTACCAACTGTGTTATCTTAATCAGGGATCTTTTTTTCTTGGGTTCGTCCAAACGGATGTAAGCCATCCAAAACTTCATTCCCCAACACGAGGAAGTGGCTATCCCTGAAGGAAATTTAGGAAACAACAATTCTCAACTAGTGTGGCTTTAAAGTGTGTGTGTGTGTGTGTCTCACATCCAGATCCACACCTGCTCCCACCAACATATTTTGTTTTATCTAACATGTATGTCCAATATTATCTGTAATTTGTCAAAATGAACATATCAGTGACAAAACTAAGCAATTCATTTTAGTACTACAATGATATAGTTGTTTTTGATGTTACTTCACTGCTACCTTACTGCATTACTGAGATGAAATACTGTATTTTTACATGTGCTGTATTATTTGTCAGTTAGATTTACTTTCAGATTAAGTTTTTAAAATAAGATCCATTAATTCAATACTGTTTTATTTCGTGATCTTTACTCAAGTCTGTCTTGTATTTATAGAATGGAAAGTAATAGTACAGTAAAATGTTTCCCATCAAGAGCTTTAATATTATATGTGATGCGTTTGGTTTAATATTACTTTTGAATTATGTAAATTTGGGTTTGTGCAAATCTCATCTTCATAAACTGTTGGATATTTTAACCTGCAGAAGAAAACAAATGGTTCTTATAGGAATACAGAACAAGATACATTGTTGTCGATTAAACTACCAAACAGCTTAAAGAGGTTTAATTAAGCACAAAATTAAACACCTGCGGCAGTTAAATCTAACAGACAATTATACAGAATATCAATCGAAAAACATACTTGTACTTTAATCAAGTATTTAAATTGTTGTTAAACTCAATTACAATTGAGAGGTAAACAGTGTAATGCATATATTGTATGCATGCAGTATTATTGCATCAATAATTATAATCAAAACATATCTTTTCTATTTAGCTGAAATGGGTAAATCTGCATAATGGGTACTTTTACTTTTGGTACTTGTAATTTGATGCCAATCCTTTTGTACTTTTACACGACTAACAGTAAGGGCGTTTTACTTGTAACACAAGTATTCTTACACTCTGGTATCCATACGTTTACTGTAATACAAGATATGAGTACTCCTCCCACCTCTGTGTATAAATACTTTTAAAATAGATATGAATACGTCTCCCATGGTTTCCCCCCTGGTTGTCGGTCCCTGTATTGTTTCTGCCATGAATAATGGAGCAGCTGTTTCTCTCTCTGTCGCCCCCTGTCGGCCATGCTGCTGTCTGCCGGTCACTTGCAGTCATTCACACACACAGAGGATACTAAGCGCCCCCCACTGGCTGACACACTGAATGGAAACTTATGCCTGCAAATCGGTCATTGAGTTCACCACCCTGTCTGCTCGTCTCCTTTAAAAACCAATGCCTCAAAACAAAACATATAAGCAACTTCTGGAGATATTTACACTGTGACATTATTGACTTAAGAATCTTACCGTCTCTTTTTGGAAACGCTTTTCTTCGGTGGTTTGAAACACGTCCCGTCCTTTCCGACGTCTATATTGACCTTTCAAAATGTCGTCAGTCGAGTTAATCATGATATCATCCTCTGGGCTGGTTTTTCTTTGAACAAATTGGTGAGGGTGAACTCATGTGAGCCGAACAGGCAGCCAGCAACCAGCAACCACCTGCAAATCAACACACCTGATTAGACTGCCAATCTTCTGCTAATTACAATGCAGCCTGCCGGCGCCACCTGGCGGCCATTACTCACGCTCAACTGGACGGGATTATCAGAGCACGAACACATTAATATATAAATAGCAAATATTAAAGAAAATGAAAATAAATACACAAAAACATATAAAGAAATAAATGTTCTTGTAATTTAACTTTGGTATTACCATTTTATGCAATGTCTTACTTCTACTACACTGCATCCCAAAGGTCCACTTCTTACTCCAGGCCTTCATTTCTGTGACAGCTTTAGCTACTGGGTTAACCATAGGTTAAGCAACAGCAATGTATTAATTCATTCAAATGTTGAAGTCAAAGTAATGAACACATTGATGCATCGCTAATTATAATCCAGTAATATAGGCTGATATATTTATATAATTCTCAAATGGGCCATTCTGCATAATGAGTACATTTTTTTTTAAATACATGGGCCTTTAAGTATCTCAATTATACAGAAATCTTATCAAATTGTACATCACAATTCAGGAACCTGTTATCAATCCACATGGACTCCACTTTGGCAATGATTGTGACCTGAGCTGGATTTCACATAAATTGATAATCCAATTAAACCGGCTTTCCAGGAAAGCACCATACAACTATTCCTCAAGGCAGCTAAACCAGGATGTCTGCCACTATTGAGCTGTACAGATGGGCCAGTTGAAAAGTGCAGTCAGTTTAATTCCCCATGATCCTAAACTCATTCTAAACACAAACAAATAAACACAAATTAAAAAAACAATTCGAGTATGCTGCTGGAGGTCATTTACGGAGCTCTTTTCCAATATGCTTGTCATTATGTAAGAGATGAACATGAATTTTA